AAATAAATAAAAACATTAAAAAAAAAAAAAAAAAAGGACTGGTATCCGTAATATGTAGAGAACTCTCAAAACTCAACACTAAAGAGCAAACAACCCAATTAAAAAATGGGTAACAGATATGAACAGGCACTTCACCAAAGAGAATACAGAGATGACAGATAAGCACATAAAAATATATTCAAAGACACCTGGACTTGAACTTGCACATATATACAGCTCTGGGCTTTTTGAGGCTTTCCCATAGTGGTATAAGAGACAAAATGATGCCATTCTCCCAAATGGCTTTGGAAAAAGTGATGGAAGCCACTCCCCCCCCCCCCCCCCGACAAACCCCTAGGTATTCAACATCTTCAGTTTTTGGAGAAAATGCAAATGAAAACCACAATGCAATACCACAGCATACCTGCTGGAAACAAACCGTGGTGCATCCACACAGTGGAATACTTGTCTGCAGTTAATAGGAATGAATTGTGGACGTCTGCTCATGACAGCTTGTATGAATCTTGCAGGCATTCTGCTGAGTGAAAGCAGCCCATCTCAAAAGGTTGTACATGGTATGGTTGTATTTATGTGACATTCTGAAAAGACTACAGTATAAGATGGAGACCAGATCCGTGGTTGCCAGGGGTTAGGGATGGGGGAGGATGTGACTCCAGAGTACAGTCCAAGGGAAGTTTTGGGGGTGATGAAACTGTTCTCTATGGACTGTGGTGGTGGTCACACAAACTCATACATGTGTTAAAATTCACAGAACTAGATCAAGTCAGGTGCTTGCTAATTGGGGGACTATTTTTAACTATACGACCAGGAAGAAATAGCCATCATGAAATAATGTTTTATGAGATGAAAAAAGAACAAGAAAAGGAGTAACTTTTTTCCTGAAATAGCGTTTTGCTCTCACACTTTTAGGCTTTTTGAAAAAATGTATTTTTTTTCCTCCTAAGTACTTTTTTCAGAGACCTGTTTTCACTATTTTCTAAAAGTCTTCCTGTTTTTTTGTTTTTTAATAGAATATACAGGTTCAATCTCAAAACAAAAATACTGCTCAGATTGTCTTATTATCTTGGGGGTTTTGTAAGATTGTTTCTTCTAATAAGTGTGATTCATGAGGTCTTATAAATCTTTGCTGGAGTTTTTTTCAAAAGCGACACTTGTACCACAATATGACTATTATGTTTTCCTAGTACAATGTTAGCCATCTTACACAGGCTGACTTGTTTTCATTCTGAGACATTCTACTGTATTTGAATCCTTCCTAGTACAAAGAATAAGAAAATCATACCTTTTGACAACTTATGGCAGACAGAGTTTGAAAAGGACCATAAAATAGAGAGTGATCATGAATGTAGTGTGTTCATTTGAAGAGTAAAAACGGGACTAGAATGTGTAATAGGAACTTAGCTTGTACGGACCAAAAGTTAATCTTCCGTATATGCTCAACATTTGTCAAATCCCTGTTAGAATCCTCTTCATCTCTGAGCTCGGCAGCATAAGCAAGATGTGGAAACAGTTGGCAGGTTTCCTGAGAAGGCAATGGAAATTAGCGTAGAGAATGAAAATAAACCCTTTAAGAGGTTAAAAGAATTCAGGTTTCCTGGGGAAGGGACATGAAAGCACGTGGAGCGCTGGGACTTGGATGGTAACTCTTCATTTTGTCCGACCAGGGGGTGCAGGAAGGACTGTCCTAAATTTTTCCAGAGGGATTTATTGGGCATGTGATGACCTTTTGTCTCCGTTCCAAGATGACTGAGGCCATATTGTACACACTGTCCTCCTCCCTGGACTTTTCTCACGTTGCACTTTTCTGTCGCTCTCTACCATTGGGGACATTCTTATTTTGACTCTTTCCCGGAGGGGGTCTCTCCTTGGCTGTCTCTGCTTCCTTCCATCATTTTACCCTCGCCCTGGAGAAATCTCACGGGTTTTGCTCCTGTCTTGTTCATCTCGAATCCATCCTTTCTACACAGCCTCCAGTGAGACGTGTCCAAATAGAACGTGCCATGTCACTTCCTGCTCAGAATCCTTCAGGCTTCCCGCAGCCTACAGCAGGGGCTCAGGGCCACCACCTCTGCAGGGGCTGGGGCTGGGAAAGGACAGGAGGAGTGACGCATGCCCGTGACCCCCAGCCACTCCCGGCGCTGTGGTGGCCCGCCCTGAGACATGGATTTTTGCCTGCGCGTCAGAGTTACCCACCCAGCGTGTCGGGAAACAAGGTAGAAAATAATGGGCCTGTGGAACAAGTTCAGGCTCCGGAGGAGAGCACGGGAGACCCTCCAGGCATGGTCCCCTGATGCCCCCCCCCGACACCCCATCCTGCCTGGAACCGGGGGCTCTGTTTTATCCTTGTCTTCTGTCACACATGGCCCGCAGTTCTCAGGATTTGGTTTTCTCAATGGCAAAATTCTGAAGACAAGTATAAGAGCTTTTTAAATTAAGAAAGTTGCTTGAAATACTTTGTAAGCATTGTTTGCCTTACATTTTAAAGACCCAAGGAGGCCGGCTTTCCTGATATTTGTCCTACAGTATCTCTGGAGGCATATGCCATTTTAGTTTTGAGTTTGGACGGGTTGTTGATTAAATGAAAATAGGGATCGAGATTTAATATACATTTATTGGATACTGGTGAACAAGCCCATTAAGAACTGTAATTCTCTGTGGAGTCATAAAATATTAGAGACACAAGGCCCTTAGAGATCATCTACTCAATCATTGTACAGATGAGAAAAAACCAACACCCTTGGGAGACTTGCCTGGGACACAGGAGACAGTACCTGTAAGTCTTCAGGGTCACATTACAACAATTTTCCTTTTAATGCAGGACTTTTTGAACTTGAGATACATATATGAAGCCCCCCCCTTTCATGTAAAATACACCCATTTACCTTTTTGTGTGAATGTTTAAAATTTACACAAAAATAGAAAAGGAAGCTACTTATTCAAATAACCGATTGCTGTGTATGTATATCTGTATATATTATATTTATATATATTTGTATATACATGTACTTATATATATTTAGTATTTAGGTAAGGTGACTTAGATTATGGAGTGGCAGGAACTAGTTACCTTCGACATTGGGAAACTCAGCCGAAGCCGCTGACTCCTCTCTAACTAGCAGTATGAGCTCTAGGCTATTCACTTAATTTCTTGGGTTTAATTCCTGTTGTATTTAAAAATAAAAGAATTACTTTAAGATTCCTTATAACTTCCAAATAATAGTATTAATACATAACAATAATATTAATACATAAATAATAATAACAGCAATAATAATACATTTGTATTGGGCTTTCTGCCTACCAGTCATGGTTGCAAATACACGTTAAGTGAATACACATGTTACACAAATTCTTGCAACTACCAAGTGAGGTTGGTACAGTTACTGTTGGGGGTGTGGGAACTGAGGCTTGGGGGTTCAAGTAGCTCAAGGTGATGCAGTTAGTACAGACGGGAGGTGGGACTTCAGCCTGGGAGTCTGGCTCCGGAGCCCACTTTAACTCCTGTGCTCCAGTGAATGTGCTCTCTCCACTTAAGCCCATTACTGCTTGGAATTAGATTTAGTAAAATAAATACTTAAGGAACTCTCTCATTTCTTTGTTAAATTTTTTAGATAATAAAATGTGATTGACAAATGTGTAAATTATGAGGGAACAACTCTTATTAAAATGATTAATTCATTCAAAGAAAATGAAGAAAGTTACTAGTTATTGGTGATAGTTCTATATTTTATGTATTGTTTACTGAGCAAAAGAGAATCTAAGTCCAAGTGAAGTTCTCCTAGGACCCTATAATCTTTAAAGCTGTGTAAAGGCTTTAAAAATTATTTTAAAAAAGGGAACCTGGGTGGCTCAGTTGGTTGGGTGTCTGACTTCAGCTCAGGTCATGATCTCATGAGTTTGAGCCCTGTGTTGGGTTCTTGGCTGAAAGCTTGGAGCCTGGAGCCTGCTTTGGATTCTATGTCTTCCTCTCTCTGTGCCTCTCCCCTTCTCATGCTCTGTCTCTCTTTCTCTCTCAAAAATAAATAACACATTTTAAAAAATTGAAAAAAAATAATAGAAGTGGAACAAGAGAAATATTCTTATCTCATTTAAAACCAACATATCTTAAAATGACTTACTTGATTCTATCTCAATTATTAGGAGAGATAGAGAAGAACATTTACTTTGTTATAGGCATACGTTTGGTTGCTTTATAAATCTCATATACCACAAGGCTTCATAAATTGTATTGAGCTCTCCAGAATAAAGGTAAGTAACTTATAGAGCTATTATAAAAATTATTACTACATAATTTTAAAAATACATATTGGTATATGCATGTATGTCTGAGTTTACTGACTTGTAACCTCTTCAATATCAGGCTCATTTATTTTTGTGTTTCCCATCACAGCACGTAGCCCAGAGCCTTTTTCACACAATATGTGAGATTGATTTCAAATTGTATATGTGTATGGGGTTGGGGGTGAGAGGAGTTGGGAGGTAGAGGGGTATAGGGGGGGTAGTCCCCAATTCTCATTATTATTCAGAAACAAAGTCTGTATACTAATGTTCATTCTAAAATTTAGAAATAATTAACCTTAATTAATTGAAACTAGATTTGAATTGTGAGTGATGGAGGGGGGAGCGTGTTCACTGTCTGTTGCCTTTACAGGTGCGTGTGAGGGAACCTTGGCCTGCTCTACCTGTCACCTCATCTTTGAAGACCACATATTTGAGAAGTTAGATGCGGTCACTGATGAGGAGAGTGACATGCTCGATCTGGCGTATGGGCTAACAGATAGGTAAGATTTTAGGACCACTTCATCTGTACTAATAATAATCTGCGAAGATAAAGTTCTAGTAGTTCATATCTACCTTAGACCAGCCCCATGCATGTAGTAGCGATCTCCTGGCATAGACACATAGCAGTCACAAACTCTGAATATCAAATATGTGACATTTCTTTTTGTTTTCACTGTTCTACAGTTTTCACCATTGTGAAACTTTGTTTTGCTAAAGTTAAAAAATCAATTGAAAGAAAAAACAAACAATTGAAGGTATTGGAGATATAAGTTCTAGATCCTGATAAATCTACTTTAGTCTATTTTTATTCCAGGGATTAATATTTTTCACAGTTTAATGAGTTGGGATTCAATTTAATGCTTTTTACAGTGTTCTTGAAGGACAGATTTGATAATTGGGTGAAATTATTATGGCAGGTTTTACCTCCTTCAAAGAACAGAATTTTTAAAGAAACTTATGTATAAAATAACTATGTTAAAATGAATATGCCTGTTTCTAAGTGCACCTGATAGTAATTGATTCCAAGCTTATTCTTGTTATTTATTAATAGGTGGAATTCCTGGTAAAATAGATTTATAGTAACTAGTGATATCAAGTGATGCTCTATTTTAAAAAATAACCTTGTCTTGGGGCGCCTGGGTGGCTCAGCCAGTTGAGCGTCCGACTTCGGCTCAGGTCATGATCTCACAGTTTGTGGGTTTGAGCCCTGCGTCGGTCTCTGTGCTGACAGCTTGGAGCCTGGAGCCTATTCGTATTCTGTGTCTCCCTTTCTCGCTGCCCCTCCCTGACTCATGCTCGCTCGCTCGCTCTCTTTCTCTCTCAAAAATAAGTAAACATTTTTTAAAAAGTGTAGCTTTCTTTTACAGTCCATATGGTTTTAACTGTCGGAGGATTGATCAGCCGCTTTCTCCATGTAGCTAAAACTTCTATTTTCTACTACACTGTTGTGTCTTCTGATCGTTTCATTGCTTGCCAGTCCTTTCAGCAAAAACTAGTGATTGTAGTAGATGATAGAAACTGAAGATTAAAGTGCTTCAGCACCACCTCACTTTTTTTTTTCATATCTACGTTCTACCCTCTGTACCCTCCGTATTTACCCTCTAGCTTTGAAAGGGTTGGGTATGTCTTTTTGACATAATGGCAATTTAAAAGGTAAGTTAATCTCTAACTGCTTTGGGTAAGAAAACATCCAACAAGCTGCCTTGTGAACTATCCATCCTTGACCCTAACAACATCTCTCCCTCTTTCACGCAGATCTCGGTTGGGCTGCCAAATCTGTTTGACAAAGTCTATGGACAATATGACCGTTCGAGTACCTGATGTGGTGGCCGATGCCAGACAATCCGTAGATGTGGGCAAGAACTCCTAAGAATAAATTGGAATATTTTCACAAAATTTTACTATTTTTATAGTTTTTATTTCTTAATGTAATGAAATGAGAACATAGATGAAGGGGTTTATTATGATGATAAGCTTTACTATAATTGACCTTACATAATACTGTATTTTGTAGTTCTAAGAGTACACAGTCCTTATTTTGGTTAAATAATAAAAAGCAAATAAAATATTAGAAAATAGTTAATATTATAAAACCTTACATATTTTACCTTATGTCTGTTTAGCAACTTTAGCAAGATGTTTTCACACAAATTTTATCCCTAATTACCTGTAAGTTAGGTTAAAAAAAGATCTTTTCCCTGTTAGATGCGGGTAAAGACAGAGCTCTAGGCCGTAGATCAAATTAGAAGGTATGTAGTAGAAACCACATCTTCTTACCCAACTTATAGGTTCAGGTTGAAACTAGAGAAGTTATGAATACTCTTGTTTATAGGAGTAATTAAGTGGACAAAACTAACCACTCAGTAAACTGCTTCATTTCAAAGAGAACTAGTTATAAATAAATATTTCAGAATTTTGATTCAGTGAAACATACCTGGACTCCTCACAGCGTGGTGCTGGTTTCTGAGGGCTGGTGTCCTAAGAGCGAGCTCCCATGCCAGGTAGAAGTCGTGTCCTTTCAGTGACCCAGTTATGGAAGTCACACAGCATCACTTCTGCCTGTTCCCTTCATTAGAAGTGAGGCACTCAGTCTGGCCCATCGCTTGAACAGAGTGGTGTCAGAGAACCTGCAGATAGGCTTTTACACTACACTATTATTTTCAGCCACTAAACTATTATTTTCAGGTTAGCTCACTGGCAAGCACATTATTGCCTATGAAAATTGTCCCTTTAACCAACAATGTTCTAAACATTTCAAGAAGGGCTGGATTTGTTCTTATACTGCATTTTGAAAGATTCTTGTATCTTCTTTTTTTATGATGGTTCATTGGCTTTATTCTATAACTCCTAACAGTTTTCTTCTTGCCAGTTGGTTAAAATCCAAGGGAATAATGGTGGGTTCTTTTTCAATGCTGTATAATTTTAGTTTACATTTCACTGCATTTTGCCATCAAGAAAGGCAGCCTCCTTTGGTATAATAGTCTATATAATTGTTGGTTACATGCTAATACTTAATACTGTATTTGCTTTTCACAAATAAAACCAACCTGTAATTATGTAAGTAACTCAAAACTGCTGAGTTTTTCAAGTGAACAATTCTAAGAATTTTGAGAACCTTTTGCCTAACTTTCACTGTTAAAATATTGTCTAATTTTTGTCTTAAAGGGCAGTTTTCTCATTTTCCTTATAACTATTTAAGTATCGAATGGTGATCCATGTGGTTTCTATCATAGTCATTTAGCATTAGAACAATTACATTTTGATTGAAAAAATGTTTTCTAAGAGGAACTTAGATTCATTATGTGTCTTCCCATCTTTTTCTTTTTTTTATAACTATGTTAATTGCTTTTCCTGCCCTTAAACTCCCCCAAATTTTGTTAAACCACACTATGGATCAGAATTTGTTAGATGGATTTCTTATTTATAGGATGACTTATCACCCTATAAATTAAAAAATAGAAATAATGTGTTGTATGTATATTTCTAAAAATAGCATATGAAACTTTATTCTAAGTGTAAACTATTCAAAGGTATTCCAACATTGCACACATACTTTGTTTCCTGTTAGAGAAACATTTAAGAATAGAAACATGGTCTTGGTTAAGCAACAACAGGATTCCTTTTATGTGTCAACACATCACATGATATCAAGTTGTTTTTATCAGATTTTTTTTGTTTATAAGTTTCTAGAAACTTAACAATTAGAAAAGCAGCTGGCAAGGGGAAGACATGACCACTTGCAGACACAGAGTTCCTATTTCAGAGCAGAAACGGGGTTAAAAGATAATTTAAGTCTACTAGAGGCCATTGAGGAGAGAAGTGGACGGGAAAGATTTCTAGAGCGAGGTGTCACTTCTGCAGAAACTGGCAGTACACGTTCTCTAATCAATGCCTTTATTCCTCTTGCCTTCTGACTCCCATTTGCTTATTGTCTTACTACCTGGGTACATTATTTGTCTTTTAATTATTACATCCGATTTGATGTTATAGAATTAAGCAGAGCCTTCGTGCCTCGCTGGTTTCCTGCATATGCTAGCTGTTACCAAAACCATGACCACTCAGCTTGATTTACCCGGTAGTCTTTATCCCTCCCTCATCTGCCCGAGTACTTTGCCCCAGACTTTCTTTTATAGCATTTATATAATACAGCGCTTATTACATGGAGCACTTACTACATTTCTTCCCTAACAGACTATGCTTTTTAAGAATCAGGGCTGGGTTGTGTTCAACTTTGTAAGTGCGGTGTCTATATCGTGGTATTTACCCCACAGTAGGTATACAATAAATACCTGAGTTAATCAAAACCTGGTCTTATAAGACATATGCCTCTAGCATCTTGCTCTGTGGTAGTCTCGTGTTACGGATGAGATTACATGAGCCCAGTATAGGCCCATGTATTGAGCCTAACGGAAATCAGAACACATAGGACTATTTTCCTGAGATACTAGATAATTTCCACTATATTAAAGAGGACTGTGTTCAACTTGTCATCTTTTTTTTACACATACCTGAACTCAAAGCAGCTTTTGAATAAGCTGAAGGCAGGTTCCTCTGCTGGTCTTGGTTCTTGAACTACAAATGCTGAGGTCCTGTAGGTGGTACATGGTCTCTGTCCCCCCGAGTCACGTGACACTGTCATGACCAAGCCTCCAAATGAGTGCTCCTCCATCTTGGAAGGGTCCACCATTCTGTAGGCTTCAGTGATTTCGCATCAGTGTTAGACTTCCCATTGGTCCTCATGAGGAGTCCTTAGGGCAGTGAAACCAAGCAAACCAAAAGACCGAGAAGGATTGAGAAGCACACTCTTCTTAGTAGTTTTGTTTTAATGTCCTTTCTGTAATAGAATCTTTTGTTTCTTAACTGAACTCCAAAGACTGAGTGAGTCTCAGAGAGAGAGCAAGGTAGGCTCTCCTTTGTAGTGAGGGAAAAAAATGGGATTTATTGTTTGGCGACCTGGATAGGGTCTTAAAGGCTTGGAAATAAAACAAAAAGATTCCTGCAGGTCACTTTGAAGTGGTACTTAGAGGACTGTTATCTGGGCACCCAAGGATCACCTGATGTTCTAAGAGAGAGGTGTTAGCAAACTATGTCCTATGGGTCAGATCAAGCCCACCACCTGTTTTATGTCAGTGAGCCTTACTGGAGTGCAGCCATGCCCACCTATTGCTTATTGCTTATTGTTGCTTTCATTTGACAACAGCAGAGTTGAGTAGTTGTGACAGAGACCAAGTGGCTCGGAATGCCTAAATTATCTGCTCTCTTGCCTTATCCAGAAAGTTTGCTGACCCCTGCTCCAGGGGAGCTGACTTAGTACTTATCATTTACTAGGACCCGGTCCTTCTAAAGTTAGTTGTTAAGTAACTTCGAAACGATTCTTAAGTTGCAGAGGTTTTCTTTGTGGTAGAAAAGGTAACTCTGAGTGTTATGGTTTCTTGCCTTGAGGGCATGATCCTGTTTGATATTTATCTCTGCAGTCTTCCTACAGCGTGTGTGTATATGTGCGTGTGTGTTAGTTCATCATGCGCTTCTCTGAACCAGCTTTCTCATTCTGCTGGTCCCCTCATTCATGAGTTAAATAAATCTTTGCCATGTGCTCACTACGTGTTTGTACGAGAATCCATTGTAACTCATAGAAATTACACAGTGACCTCTTGAGGCCCCTCTGTACCTCCTCATGAATGTTTTATCTTGAGGTAGTCAACCTCTGGTTACATATCTGTTAAGTAGAGATAATCATACCCAAAACCTCAGCCAGGCTACTCCCTCATCCATGTAATCATATCCACTGGGCAATGCTTTATAGTTATTTAAATTAAAAGATGATGTGTGTAAACATTTTTAACTGTAGAGCACTATGTCATTATTGATTGTCACTTCTTGATGAAATCTAGACCTTAGGTAATAAAGTAGAGGTAGAATTCTTGTTATATAAGAATTTCAGACCAGGACTTGGTTCTTTGACTTTTCTATTTAGAATAGTTATTTTTTAAAAGCAGATCTATATAGGGCGTGATCTTAAGCCTAACTACCCATCTGATGAATGCACTAAAAATGAAAGAGCTTTATTATAATCTTTTATGTGAGAGAAATAGTCCATTGATAACCACCTCTATTAAATCCTCAAGAAGCAGCGATGAGTTGGAAATTTCTAGACTGTCCTAACTACAAAAGGAAGCAAATAACAATACGGCTGTGATCGTGGGCTGGAAATAACTCATTGCCTTTTTATTGAAAGAAAAAAATAAGGAGCAATTCTGATAAAAGTAAAAGGAGGGAAATACCTGTGGCTGAAAATGGAAACACACATTATTTACTTTTTCGAGGATGCCTGTCCTTTCACACATTCACACAGTACAGCTCCTTGTGATGCCCCAGAACACACTGCCATTTGCAAACCTGTTTTGCAAGGGATACGAGCACTCCACCACGATCAGCTTCCCTCTCTCCTACTAAATTGAGATATACATAGGAGTTTATATATGTTTTATTAATCAAGCTCAGAAAATTTTTTTTTACATATTTCTTGACAGCCCAACCTGATTTGTTTCAAGTATGATCATTGGATAGATCTTGCATGATAGATCTCCCTTTTTTGGGGCACAAGCTAAAACACTATGGAGGAAGTTTTAATAATCTCCTTAGAGTTCCATTTAACATAGTTCTGCTGTGGAAGTAGCATGCTCTGGGTGCTCAATGTTGAGCTGTGTCCTGTACAACCAAGTGAAATTGCCAAAAAGATTCCCATGTATATAAGGTGATGTGTTCTACCTATGATCAGCTTTGAATTACAAAATCACAAGTGACAGTTCCTGTGGTCTTGTATTAAAATCCAGTTTCTTATATTTACGTTATCTTCCAAATGCCTTGAGAAGTATCTGACACATAGTAGGTGGTCAGTCAATATTAGTTGAAATTTTTAAATAAATCCCTTATTTATTTAAAATTTGCCCACCACTGTTTCCCGATTCTGGGGTAAAATAGCAGGGGCTTGTGAGAGGAGAAAATCTTGGGTCAGAGCTTTGGATTGATAAGCACAATTATGTTAAATGAGTTGCTAAACTAAATAAAGAAAAGCAAAAAGTTTTTATACCATCGACAGCTTCCAAGGTTAAAGTCTTGGGTTATTGCTCTTATCAGGGTGATGAGGAGACAAACTTTCAAGTGTTTTTAAGTCTTTGTTACTTTTGCCAGACAGCTGAACTCTTTTGAGAGGAAAAAATGATTATTTCTTTTGAGAATGCTGCCAAATTTCACAAAACTGAAAAGAAAGTGCTCATGTACCCAGCAGTGGGGTGGGCATACTTTGACTTGGCGCCCACCTCTACCAGCTTCTGCTTGTGCGTCTTGTGGGGCAATGCTGAATGACTAGACCTTTAGATTAGGGGGGTTTCTTTTATTGTAAAGGGCAGAGAGAGGGTGGCCCTGGAAAGCAGACTTTCCTGGCCTTTTTGTACTCTGCCAGAAACTAAAATGTTCCTCTAACTGTTATATCAGCTCTTGGCCAACCAGCTGGTTACATTTGTGCAGGAATCGTGCACAGCCCTGGGTCTCTGCCAGTGCCCCAGTGAAACCCCATCTTTGCGGGGTGAGGGCCTCATCTTGATGTGGTTAATGTGCACACCTCAAAATATCCATTATCAAGCTCGGAATTCGTCCAAGCAGCAGGGTAGCAGAACTTACCACAAGGCCTTAGATTATGAAACTACCTGTTGGCACTCATGTGTCTCCATTCTTACACAACTTTTTTATGCCACAAGTTCAATTTTGTGAACTGACTAGTCTTCCAAACCAAAAGTTGTTTGGAGAGAGAGCAAAGGAAGAACTAAACAGGAAATAAGTAAGCCAACAGTCATCACCTAATGCAACTGCACAGAAAAGTTGAAAAATATTTTAAGTGTTTTCAAAATGTTTGTAGATATCAAAGAGCCAAACCATCTGGGTGAAGCATTCCATTAGCCTTAATTTTTTTTTGGTATGGGCATTAGTTTTGAGCTAGAAAAAGCTCACCCCTGCCCAAGGTAACATACTTTGCGCTTAACACCTCATTCAAAACTTCCAAGCGTGTTAAATTC